GCAGGGAGCGGCCGGGCCGGATGGTGGCGCGGGGCGGGGCAGGCAGCGAGGGGTCTGACTCAGTTTCCCCTCAGGGTGGAAGGGGGCCTTGACTCAGTTTTCTCCCTGGGTGGGGGTGCGGGCCAAACCCTGACTCAGTTTCCCCCCATGATCCATGGGGGCAACTCTAACTTCGTTTCTCTGTTAGGGGAGAGTGTGCCTGACTCAGTTTCTCCTCAGCGTAGGAGATGGGGAAAAACCTCCCTCAGTTCTCCTTATGAAGGCAGAGAGGGCCCTGACTCAGTTTCCCTCAGTGAAGGGCGGAAGGACTCCAGACTCAGTTTTCCCGTAGGGAACAGGTGTTTCTGGCTCCGTTACCCCACCCCTTAGTTTCCCCGCAGGTTCCGGGGAGGAGGCCCTGGTTTAGTTTCCCTTGGCGGGAGCTTGGTTCCATATCCTCTCAGCGGGGAAGTGGCCCTGAGGATGAGTGGCTTGTGCTGACTCTTGTCCCCCTCCCCTTCCAGATCTGTTCCCCCTCATCTTCCCTTCGGGTAAGTGGGCTGTCCTCCCTCGGTGGCTTGGGCGGATCTCCCCACAGCTGGGGCAGTGGGGCAGCCGCTGATGGGGGCTCGCCATGTCCCGTGCAGAGCCGGCCCAGGCCACCGGCCCCTATGTGGAGATCATCGAGCAGCCCAAGCAGCGGGGCATGCGCTTCCGCTACAAGTGCGAGGGCCGCTCCGCCGGCAGCATCCCGGGCGAGAGGAGCACTGACACCACCAAGACCCACCCCACCATTAAGGTCAGCACTGGGGCACCAGCTCCAGGGGTAGGCTGGGGGTACAGAGTGGCAGAGGCAGGCTACGGAGCCCTGGCAGGCCTGCCTCCAGGCCACTATGCTGTCTGTGTCTGGGAGTCGGGTTTGGAATTCTTGGGCCTCTAGGGTGTCCTCTGTACTTTGGACAGATCAATGGCTACACAGGGCCAGGGACAGTTCGCATCTCCCTCGTCACCAAGGACCCCCCTCACCGGCCTCACCCTCACGAGCTCGTGGGGAAGGACTGCCGAGATGGCTTCTATGAGGCTGAGCTCTGCCCGGACCGCTGCATCCACAGGTGAATGCCCCACAGGCCCAGGGTGGGCTGGGGACAGGAGGCGGAGTGGCCACACAGCTGTTAAGGTGTTACTCCTTTCTGGACACAGGGCAGAGCTCCTCACCCCTTGCTCTGGCCCCAGCTTTGCAGGCAGATTTCCTTTGTCTTGGAATGATCTGTTTGTGGGCCCGCCTCTAGCAGATGTGAGCTCCTTGGGGCAGAGATAGGGCCCTAATCACCTCTGAACCCCTGCCCTGTGGCTGAAAGGGCAGGTCCCTCAGTGCCACATCTCTCGTGCTGAGAAAGAAAACCAACAAGCCAACAGTCTCCCCTGGAGGTGACCTACTAGTTGACAGAGCTAGGCCGCAAGTAAACATACACATAAGTAAGCAAGATAATGGTGGCGGGTAATCATTTCAGTGACGAAAATAAAACTGGGTAGTAGGTTGGAAGGATCCCTGGCGGTGCAGTGGTTAAGCACTTGACTGCTAACTGAATGGTGTGCGGCTTGAACCTACCAGCTGCTCCACGGGAAAAAAACCTGGTGATCTGCTCCCGTAAAGATTTACAGCCTAGAAAACTCCATGGGGCAGTTCTGCTCTGTCTTATATGGTCGTTATGAGTTGAAATCAACAGCACACGACAACATTACAACAGTAGGTCAGGAGAATAACCTGGGGCAAGGGGTCATTACTTTGGATTGGAAGCTCTGGGAAGTTCTTGCTCACCTAAGACTTCAGTGGTGAAAAGTAGAGAAGCAGGGAAAGAGCGTTCCAAGCAGAAAGAACAAATGCAAAGGCTTGGAAGTGGGAATGAGTTTAGTGTCTGAGGAGCAGAAAAGAAGCCCATGTGGTTGGAGGAGGTTGGCAAGGGCCTGGTCACCCAGCGCTTGTCAGCCAAGGTAAGGAATTGGGGTTTCATTGCAGCACAGTGGGGAGCCATTGGGGTGGTAAAGCACAGGGTGATGATCGGATGTCAGGGGAGGGGGAGGAAGGGCAGACTGGGCAAGGCAGGAGGGCCCAGGCTCTGCTGGAGACAGCAGTACTGATGTCCGGGGGCCTCAGCTTCCAGAACCTGGGGATCCAGTGCGTGAAGAAGCGGGACCTGGAGCAGGCCATCAGTCAGCGCATCCAGACCAACAACAACCCCTTCCAAGGTGAGAGGTCTGGGGGTGAAGCCTCGGCCTGCCTGGAGCACCCCCAATTCTGTCACCTTCCTGAGGCCACTTTTCCTGTATTTCCCTCATTGGCCAAGAATCACAGCACAGACGGGATTTTGCTGCCCATTCAGTACGCACTCCCATTTAGCACTGGGGAAACGGAGACCCAGAGGGGACACGACATCCAGGGTTATAGGTGGAGTCAGTGATGGGTCCAGAGCCTTCTCTTCTTTCTTCTCTAGAATGCCTCCTACTGTTTCCCTTGCCTTCAGACAGCACCCCCAGCCCAGCCCAGAGCTCCCTGCCTGCGCCCCTCACCCTGCTCTCCTGACTGCCTGTCTGTCTGGCTTTCCTGCAGTTCCCATAGAGGAGCAGCGTGGGGACTACGACCTCAATGCCGTGCGGCTCTGCTTCCAGGTGACAGTGCGCGACCCATCAGGCAGGCCCCTCCGCCTGCCGCCTGTCCTCTCTCATCCCATCTTTGACAACCGTGAGTGGCCAGGGAGCTGCAGGAAGGGGAGAGGGGTGGGCTTGGGGAGGAGAAGGGGAACTGGTCGGGGGTGGCCTGGGAGAGGCGCTCTGGCTTCGTTTCATTATCTAGCAGGTTCACTGTTTCGTCTGTGCCCCGCTCTGTGCTGGCGGAGGGACCAGGCAAAGGGGACCCAGAGCTGCTAGGCTGGCAGGGAGTCAGTGGGGGACAGGCATTTCAATGTCACGTGATGAGAGAGAGGTCAGGGAAGGCTGGGCTCTGCCACTTGCCAGGGCCCCTCTGTGAAAACAGGCTGCAAGTTGTGTGCCCAGAACCGGGCTAGTGATAGCAGGAACTGGACTCCCAGGAACCAGATGACGTTACAGAGTCATTTCAATGGTGACCTGGGCCGATGGTGGTCAACAGCATTTTTAATTAAGTGTGCAGCAGGATGGATGAAAATCAGAGGGCCTTGGAGCCCCAAAGGCAGCATCTTTTTTTTTTTTGCCTCATTCAATAATAACAATTGCCCAGACTTACTGAGCTCTTCCTACATGCCTGGCCGTATTCCTGAACCGGGGGTCGAGGCAGCCTTCACTGCCAAGGTGGGTGTGAACTGGGCCTCGAAGATTACCCGTGTCAGGTGGAGAAAGAGGTGCATCCGGATCGGTTCCCCCAGACTGTAAACCCCGCGAGGGCAGAGATGTTGCGGTTCGGTGCGTTGCTGTGTCTCAGCATCCACAGCGGTGCTGGGCCTGTAGTAGGTGCTGGTGGACAGTTACTGGCCTGGTTGGGGTAAGGAGTCAGTGGGGATGGTCTTGACTTGGTCAGCAAGCTCTGGGCAACCCCATGCCTCTGGGCTGGGCAGGGCGGTGGCGGCTCCTGCAGGCCAGCCCTGGGGACCTCTGGTGGTTCAGGGCTTCCTTCCTTACCCCCCACCCTCAGGCGCCCCTAACACTGCCGAGCTCAAGATCTGCAGAGTGAACCGAAACTCCGGGAGCTGTCTCGGCGGGGATGAGATCTTCCTGCTGTGTGACAAGGTGCAGAAAGGTACACACCAGGGGGCAGGGCTGGGTTCTTTGGAGCAAGAGGTGGGGCAAGGAGGAGCAGAGATGGCAAGGGTCACAGAACTGGCTCTAAACCCCCCGCAACCTTGGGAGTCTCAGGGGGCACCAAGGTGGTGTATCTCAGGAGCAAGCCTCAGCATTTGGGGGAGCGTCAGGGGGTTCAAGCATGCTGGCTCTCACTGCCACCCCATCTCCTGCAGAGGACATTGAGGTGTGTTTCACGGGACCAGGCTGGGAGGCCCGAGGCTCCTTCTCACAAGCTGATGTGCACCGGCAAGTGGCCATCGTGTTCCGGACGCCCCCCTATGCAGATCCCAGCCTGCAGGCTCCCGTGCGCGTCTCCATGCAGCTGCGGCGGCCTTCCGACCGGGAGCTCAGTGAGCCCATGGAATTCCAGTACCTGCCAGACACAGGTAACCAGCTGGGGAGGGCAGCAGCAGGGCTGTGGGACTCCGCCCAAAGAGAGAGAGGCCAGGACTGGGCATCAAAGGCTGTAGTTGAGAAACAGAAGCCGGGGTCAGGCTTGGGATGTACACAGTATCTAGTTTTTGCCTTATTTGATAGTAATAATAATAACAGCCAAGACATAAAGAGCTCTTCCTACGTGGCTGGCCCTATTCCAGGCACTTCAGAGATCTTATTCTCTCACCAGGCTTTTATTTTATTTGTACTTTAGATGAAGGTTTACAGAACAAGTAGTTTCTCATTAAGTAGGACACATACTGTTTTATGACAATGATTCACAACCCCACAACATGTCAGCACTGTCCCTTCTCAACCTTGGGTTCCCTATTACCAGCTTTCCTGTGCCCTCCTGCCTTCTAGTCCTTGTCCCTGGACTGTTGTGCCCCATTAGTCTCGTTTTGTTTTATGGGGTTGTCTAATCTTTGGCTGAAGGGTGAATCTCGGGAGTGACTTCATTACTGAGCTAAAAGTGTGTCCGGGGGCCATAGTCCTGGGGCTTCTCCAGTCTCTGTCAGGCCAGTTAGTCTGGTCTTTTTTTGTAAGTTTGAATTTTGTTCTAGATTTTTCTCCCACTCTGTCCAGGACCCTCTGTTGTGATCCCTGTCAGAGCAGTCAGAGGTGGTAGCTGGGCACCGTCTAGTTGTACTGGACTCGGTCTGGTCTCTTACTGGCCTTTTGAGGTAGTTTACAGGTGAGGAAGTTGAGGCACATGAGGTTGACCTGCCGGAGGTCACAGAGCAAGTTAGTAGCAGGGCCAGCATTCGAACCCGGCCATCTGGTTCCCGGGTGCAGTCACCATGCCGTGTGTCTCTCCCACACAGCCAGGGCTGGGTCAGGCTGTCAGGCATCTGACCGCAGTAGGAACAACCAGAATGATCTTCATCCGCAGCCGGTCCTCCAGCCTGGGAGTGTTGTGTATTCTGGGAGCAGGCTAATAGAGCTTGGAAGGCAGGGTAGCAAAAAAAAAAATAGCTGTCGGTTTATTCCACAAATAATTACCTAGTGCCCACTGGGTGCCAAGGGCTCATACCAGGTATTGTGAATGTAAAGATGAGTAAGACATGGCCCCTGCCCTGTGGAAGCCCAGTCAGATGAGGAAGACAGACATGCAGACCAGATCCTAACGTCACAGGATGACACGCAAAATCGAGGGTGGTGAGTGCAAAGTCCCGTGGGAGCAGAGAGGCGGAGCTGGCTGGGGAGGGTGCGTGGAGGAGGTGATATTGGAATTGCAGAAGGACACAGAGGAGTATTCTCCAGGTGGGTAGGTCAGCATCTGGAGAGGCAAGGGTGGTGGGAAGCGCAGCTGTGGTGGGAGGGGACGTTGGGCAGTGCGCAGGCCAGACAGAGGAGGCCTCGAAAATGGTAAGCTCAGGGCATCACCAGAGTTTCATCCAGAGGCAGTGGGGAGCCATGGGGGATTGTGAGCAGATCTGGAAGCTCCCTCTGGCAGCAGTGTGTCTGAGGATCCGAGAGGGAGAGACTGGAGGTGGGCAGGCGGTTTTGGAAGACATTGCATAGTAGGGTTATCCAAGAGCTAAAGTTGTTAGCCAGTTCTAAAAGCCCCAAACTGTCAAACCCTCAAGAGACAGGAGTGACAGTCTGTTGAATCAGGCCAGCTGTACCAGGAAGAGAAGAGGCAGCATGAGCCTCGCAGCGGGAATGGTGGAGCGTCTCCTGCACTTTCCTCCTTGGTTCCCCTCCCCAGCCCCACTGGCCTTTTTGTGTGTAAGACACACCAAGCTCAGTCACACCTCAGGACCTGCACATGAGCTGGTCCTCTGCTTGGGATGCATGGCCCAGGGCTTCACGTGCCCGACCCACACGAGTCCCTCCCTGACCACCTCTAAACTGGCTCCCCCGCCTCACCTCTGGTGCTGTTACACCCCCGTTTACCTTCCTCAGAGCTCCTCACGCTTCTTGAGATCTTCTTGTGTGTGTATGTGGCTGTGTTCTGTCTTCACCACGAAGATATCAGTTCTAACAGCAGGAACCTTGTGTGTGTACTCATGGCTCTATCCCCAGTGGCTAGAATGGAGCCTGGTACATAGTAGGTGCTTGGTTGATATGTGTCGAGTTAGTGAGCATGGGCAGTGAGAGAAAGAGAGATGTTGAGGCTGAGTCCAAGGTTCCTAGCTTTGGAGGCAGAGCAGATGGATGGTGAGGGAACCCAGGAGGGGAAAGAGCCAGGTTTTTGAGGGGAGATAATTTGAGGTTGGCTTTGGACTGATGGATCGGGGTGCTTTGGGGTTATCCAGGAGCTGAGGTTGTTAGCCAGTTCTGAAAGCCCCAAACCAAACTATCAAGCCATCAGAGAGAGGAATGAGAGTCTGTGGAACTCTTGAGCAAGCCAGTCATGCCAGAGCTGCCCCAGAGTGTGGAGAGATCAGCTCGAGGCTGGAGATGCACTAGGACAGGAGCAGTACAGGTGAGAGAAGGAGCTGGAGGCTAGGGTCCCCGTGAGGCCCCTGTCCCCCAGAGCATGGCCTTGTTACCTGGAGTCACTCATGTGGCCTTTGGAGGGATAAATTCAGACAACAGAGGCCTTCTCGCCAAAGGCTGTCAGAACTGTCAAGCGTCCAGTGGCCTCATCACTGCCTGCAGAGGTTGGGAGAGAGGGTCTGAGGAAAGCTCTGGTCATCACCTTCCTCCTGAGGGGCCTCAGAGGAGAGCGAGACCCACTTTTCCCCGTTACTCTCCCAGATGATCGTCACCGGATTGAGGAGAAACGCAAGAGGACATATGAGACCTTCAAGAGCATCATGAAAAAGAGCCCTTTCAATGGTGAGAGGCGGACTGGGGAGAGCTGGAGAGAGAGCAGGCAGGGGAGGGGTGCGCGGGGCATTGAGAGCTGACCCAGACCTTGCCCTGCAGGACCCACGGACCCCCGGCCTCCACCCCGGCGCATTGCTGTGCCCTCCCGCAGCTCGGCTTCCGTCCCCAAGCCAGGTAAGTCTCCCTACTGCCCTCCTGGGGCTGCTAGTTCAGATCTGGTCAGCCTATGGTCTCCACGCCTCTGGGAGGGAGGGAGCCAAGTAATTGGCGTTGCCAGCAGGTGTTGACTGGAGTCCACTCTCTGTGGGGCCCGTTTTCTCAGAGGGTGAGGCCTGGATTACCTCAGAGTCATCTAGGGTGCAGAGAAGGTGCAGATTCCTGGGCCCCGGTAAAGACCTGCTGAACCAGAGCCTTCTGAAGGGTGGCCCAGGAACCAGCAGCTTCCCGGGGAGGCTGATGCACACAACGTCCGAGAACCACCAAGCAGTGACTGGATAGAAGTCAGAAATGGCACAGTCTCTGCCCTCAGCTCTCAGCTGAATCAGGGAAACAAAACAGTCGCCTCTAAAGGGGCAAAATGTACATGCTGCTGTGTGGCTCAAAGAAGAGTGACCTGGTGCCCACGGGTCATCCCCACTGGGGACTTGGTTTTCTAGCTGGCAAATGAGGAGGTTGGTCTCTGAAAGTGTCCTTCCCTCTAAAAGCTGGAAGCATTTTAAGAGGTGAGAGGTAAAGAGCTTTGTGGGCTACAGTAGTCAGGGAGGGCTCCAAGGAGGAGGTGAGGCAAGAACTGGACCGTACAGGCTGAGTCAGGTTGGGTAAGAGGAAGGAGCTAGGGTGTTGACAGTGACTCCACAGGATGGGTTGATCTAAGCACTATGGAGAGGGGCTGGGCTCCAGGGGTGGGTCTCTGGGGCTTTCTCTGACCCCACTTCTCTCTCTCCTCCAGCCCCCCAGCCCTACACCTTTACGCCGTCCCTCAGCACCATCAACTTTGAGGAGTTTTCCCCCATGATCTTTTCTTCTGGGCAGATCCCAAGCCAGGCCCCGGCCCCAGTCCTGGCCCAGCCCCCAGCTCCTGCCCCAGCCATGGCATCAGCTCTAGCCCAGGCCCCAGCCCCTGTCCCAGTCCTAGCCCCGAGCCCTGCTCAGGCTGTGGGCCCGCCAGCCCCCAAGACCAGCCAGGCCGGGGAAGGAACGCTGACGGAAGCCCTGCTACAGCTGCAGTTTGATGCTGACGAAGACCTGGGTGCTCTGCTTGGCAACAGCACCGACCCAGCCGTGTTCACAGACCTGGCATCCGTTGACAACTCTGAGTTTCAGCAGCTGCTGAACCAGGGTGTGTCTATGGCCCCCCACGCAGCCGAGCCCATGCTGATGGAGTACCCTGAGGCTATAACTCGCCTGGTAACAGGGTCCCAGAGGCCCCCCGACCCAGCTCCCGCCCCGCTGGGTGCCTCGGGGCTTGCCAACGGCCTCCTCTCAGGGGATGAAGACTTCTCCTCCATCGCAGATATGGACTTCTCAGCCCTGCTAAGTCAGATCAGCTCCTAAGGGGGGTGACAGTGCCCTGTCTGGAGCACTGGGGCTGCAGGGGACTGAACCCCTCCCAAGGCACTTACGGATCCCGGGGTGCATGCTCCTACTGCCCCAGCTCCGTTGGGCGATGTCTTCTGGGGGGCACATTTTATTCTTTTATCAGCAGTGTCTGTCTGTCTCTCTTTTTGGAGGTGCTTAAGCAGAAGCATTAACTTCTTTGGAGAAGGGGGAGCTGGAAGGACTCAAACTCTTCTCCTGTCTTGATGTTCTACTCCCTTCTCTCTGTAGAGAGCTCTGGGGGCCCCCCTGCCTACCCTCCAGCGTCTAGCACTCCACTAGAGAGAAGGGCAGACGGGCTGTGGCCTTCTTATCAAGTATCTTTCCCAAACCATGGATTTCCTTCACACCTTGAGCCAAAATGATGCCCTGCTACCAGCCCCTCTACGGCGCCAGTATTGTCCTTGTACCTAACACCAGCGTTTGAGGCCGTGGCCTTCCTGCCATGCAGAAGTTCTGCCAGCCCTTTCCTTGCTCCGTTGTGGCTGAAGAGAACTGATGGGACAGCGCTGGTCCTCTCCAGGATCCAGAGGGGGTTTGGTCTGAGATGACCTCGTTCGCCATTTTCTCAAGTGCCTTAATCGTAGGGCAAGTGATGTGGAGGATGGGGGAGGGCAGGCTGGCGGCTCTCCAGTCAAGAGGCACAGTTTCTACTGAAAAACCAAAGCCGTTGGGCTTCTTGCTCTTTCTACTCTGAACTAATAAACTTGCTGCCAAGCTGGCCAGAGCTTCGCCTTCTTTCAGCAAACACTGAGCACGGTACTCTTCGCTGGTCATGTCAGACAGTGGTGAGAGCTGGATGAACATGCACACGTGAGAAGCCTGCTGTCTGAGGGTGCCCTTGGAAACCCCTAGTTATCGTCCAGTGGAGGAAAGCAGGCAGCAGAGGTGGGGGTCCTAGTCTTGGGGTGGTGAGAGCCAGCAGGGCCCACGGCTGTGGGGTTGGAGCAGTTTCAGGACAGACTTCACAGAGGCTACATGCATTAGCTCCAGGCCTTAGATCAGCAGAGGAGCGTGGATCGGGCAGAGGGGCTAGGGGCCTTTAGGAGGTGAGCAGGGGAAAGAGAGGGTCTGCAAAGGCTCACTGGGGCCAGGCTGTGAGAGATCAAAAACGCAGGGCTCACAGGTTTGGACTTCATTTCCTGGGTGGCCAGTGTAAAGTTTGCCTTTATAGGGAAGGGGAGATGCCAGGAAAGATCTACGCCCGCCCCACACGAGCCTTGCTACGCTGCTCTGGAAGGAGCGAAGAAACCTCAAACCGAGCGCAGCGATGTCTAAACAAAAGCCAGGCCACAGCCCACAGGGCGAGAACAGGCCTACTTCCGGTTTGGTATGGCGCAAGCGCACTAAAGCAGGGTCAGGGAAAGGCCCTGCCGGGGGGAGACGCCGGTTTCTCTGGTGCGCATGCGTAGAGACAGCAGTCTGCGCCCGAGAGCCCAGACGATGTGTTTCATGAAAGAAAATCTGTCCTGAGGCTGATAGCCACTAGGTTCCGGACCTCGCACCGTGGCGAGAGGGAAGGCGGGACGCGCTGCAAAGGCCAGCGAGTCCTCTGGGAAAGCACTAGGCCCTGGGTGCAGACTCAGGTGGACGGCACCTGGGAGGAAAATGCCAGCGGCGGCGGAGTGCTGGGGACACGAACGCTCACAGGAGTCGCGCGCAACAGCGATCTCGCTTCCTGGGTCGGGGCCACTCAGAACATCCGCGCAATGGGCAGCAACCGAGCTGGTGGCACGAGGTCAGGCCCCGGAGACCCTGCCTGGCAGCGCCTGAGGAGGTGGAGCCAGGCCGGGACCCCGAGGAGACCCCGTGGGGGGAGAAGGATCCTAACTGGGAGGAAGCCGCGTCGACGCCGCGCCCTACCTGGGGTTCCAGAGGGGACCGCGCAATTCCAGTCCTCCAGCCCAGACCGAGTCTTGTTCTCTTGGCTGTCTTCGCGTCCTGCAGTGACCTCTCGTGACCCCCGGAAGCCCTCTCATGGCCCTTCCCACACTCCCTGAGTGAGCTCATCCTGCTCACCAGTCCCAAATCCTTGTCTCCGACCCAGCCCACTGGACAGCTCCACTCTGCCGTCCCCCCGGCTCCCTCCCAAATGCACCCTGTTCCAAATGACCTCAGCCATCCCCAGCCTGCTCCTCGTCCTCCCTCCCAGGTCTCCAGCCAGAAACCTGGCCACCAGTGTGGAGGCCACCTCTCTCCCCTAGCCCCCAGTGTCCAATCCTTCACCATACTCTAGCAAGTTGGCCCACTTTCCCCATCTCCATTCTATACCCAAGTTTCAGTCACCACCACTCCCAGCAGGGCTGCCGCTGCAGCCTCCACCGCCTCCCTACCTTCCCTGCGGCCAACGGGCTCTCTCACCCAGATCTCACCCCAGCACTCTCCCTTTGCACATCTGCCAATCACATGGCCAGACCCCAGTTTTCTGCAGATACCCAGAGAGTGTGACCAGAGCCCACTACACTGCCCTGAGGAGAAGCTGGGACACTGCTAGTCTAGGATCCCTCAAGTCTCTTCTGATCCAGCTCCAGCCTCTTGGACCCTGGGTTCCTCCGTGCACCCTGACTCCAGTCCAGCAGGTCCCTGGACTGGTCCTTCTCTTCCTGGTACACTCCTACTCAACCTTCAAAACTCAGCCTTCATGTTATCTCCTCTCTGAAGCCTTCCTGATTCCCCAGCACTCTGTTTCTCAGAGCCTAGCTCATCCTGCCAGAGCCTCAGCCAGCCTGAGGAAGGGGCTGGACTAGGCATGGATGGTGGGCAAGCCAGTGCCCTCTCTAGGCCTCAGGCCCAGAAAATAAAGGGTTTGGACAAAGTCCAAGCTTGAACCTTCTGATGCTACTCATGGGAAAAGCCCCACCTGGTGAGGAGCAGAGGGGGGGATGGGCTGGTGAGAATTGGGTCAAGGGCTGATTTCCTTGGGGACATGGAAACACCCCCTAGGTGGCTGAGGCAGAGAAGCTACCACCTCTGGAATTGGGCCCGAGGTACTTGCAGTATCTGGCTGGCTGGTCAAGGGGGTGCCAGACTGAGTGACTACAGAGGAGAAATGGGGCCTGCGTGGGGCACAGGGCCTTCCAAGGGGGCATGGTCAGGCTCTCCTTGACCTCTAAGCTCTGCCCTCCCCTGCCCTGCAGGTGCACCCTCTGCCCCTGATCCCAGCACGTGAGGTGTGGTCCCAGGACAGGAGTGTGGCTGGGCCTGGCTCTGAAGACTAAGTAGGGCAGGGGTGGGGGGTAGTAGCTCCCTGCTTCCCAGAAGAAACAAATGAACGTTTGTGGGAGCAAAGCCAAGGCTGGCCTAGCCTCAGAGACCCCCGCAGTGAGTGCCAGCCCTTCAGCCTGCCCTGCTGGGGACCCTGGGAGCAAAGACCCTTCCCTCCTCATGTCATGAACAGCGTGGACCCCCATACACACACAAATGGCAATGGCTTCTTTACTCCCTAAGTCCCCTTTTCTTTAAAGAATATTTACAAACAGGGACAGGATGGGGGCAAATCTGTCACCAGATAACGGGCCAGGGAGTGGGGGCAGTGCTAAACACATCCTCCGCACAGGGAGAAAGTTCCTGAGGAGGGCCGAGGGCCCGGTGCGGCCCAGGTGTCCGCCAGGGCCTGGACAGTTCTGGGCTGGACCCGCGTTAGGCCAGGTTGGTGGCGGGGGCGCCCAGCTGCTTGGAGGCCATGAGCAGGCGGGTGGCCGCGCTCTCCGACTCGGCCTGCAGCCGCCGGTTGTTGTGCCGCAGGTTCCGCACCTCCTCCTCCAGGGCCGCCTTGTCGGCCTTCTCCTGGGGATGCGGGCAGCAGTCAGAGCAGCCGGCCCTTCTGAGGGGCAACCCTGGCTCCCACCACTGCGCAGCCCAGGCAGCCCCTCACCTCACCTTCTGCAGGTCCTCCTGCAGCTTCCGGAGCATGGACTCCAAGTGAGAGACCTTCTCTGACAGGCTCCCCGGCTCTGGCCTGGGGACATGGGGGGTCAGGACTCAGCCCCCGGGGGGCAAGGGCAGCATCCCAGCCCCACCTGGGTGAGAAGAGCCCAACCGGTCTTCCTAGGCTTAGGTGTATGTGAAAGGGAGCCCCAGGGCAATGCTCAACCCTGAAGGACAGGCACGAACGGTGATCACACAGGCACAGGACGGGCAGTATTGGGCAGGGGGGGAACCTTACTCAGCATCAGATTTTGAGGTTCCCTTGGAGTCTCCAGTCTCTGGGATGGGGTGTCCTGTGGGGACAGAGGGACCGTGTGGGCAGGTGGGTAAAGGGAGAAAGCGCCATCCTGGCTCCTACCCCCAGGTGCCTGGTGGCCTCACCCTCTCGAGACAGTGACTCCAGGATGGTGTTGCATGTGGAGGCGATCTCCGAGATGGATTGCCACTCGTCCTCCAGGGTCTCGCTGCCCGCCTCTGACATGACTGCAGGACAGGAGGGGGCTCAGCAGGGAGCCAGCCAGCCCCTCCTGCCCTGCTCTGGGCCCCCCTGTCCAGACTCACTCTTGCTGATGGAGTTCCGCAGAGACAAGGTTCGTGGCAAGAAGGAGGCCCTCAGCTCCGGGGCTGGGTCACCCTTATCCTCACAGCCACTGGAAGCAGCTGGCTCATCCTGGGGGCCAGAAATGGGTGCAGATGAGGTGACACCCACTGTCACCACTGCACCCACCCTCACCTGTTGGGCCAGAGCTTTCTTTCTGCTCACCTGGGTGGGGGGTGTCTCCCGGCCAGCACTGGGTGCTGACGGCTTGCCCGTGGTGGCTAGGAGGAGGTCCGGGGTGGTGTTGGGTAGGATGGGGGCCTCGTCTGACAGGGAGCTGGGGAGAGCAGGGGCAGCTCAGCGCTGGAAGCTCTGTACCGTGGCCGGGCTGGAGGAGAGGGAGGGCCAGGAGGGAGCACCTGTGGGGCGATGGCGAGTTCTGGCTGTGCAGGAACTCGGTCCTCTCCTCGGCCAGGTGCCCGGGCCCTGGAGGGCCTCCGCCATCGGGCAGGCACAGACGCAGGAGCTGCTTTCTGGCCGGTAGCCCGGCCACCCCAGGGGCGTCCTCAGGCACTGTCTCAGTGGCGCCCCGCCGACTGGGCTCCTGCAGAGACAGCGTGTACAGCTCCGAAAAGCTCCTGGTGGAAAAAGGGCACGGTCAGGCAGGAGCTCTCCCGCAACATCCTGCAGCCCCCGCCTGATCCCACCGCTGCCTGAGGCGCAACTCCAGGAGGAGAGCTCCCATACTCCTTGACAACCACGAAAAACGTTTGCCTGGCTGCTGGCCATTTTTCCAGATCTAAGTTTCTAAGTTTAAATCCCAGCGCTGCCCCTGTGCATCCTGGGCAAATCACTCAGAACCTCAATTTCATCACCTATGAAAGGGGGATATAGTACCAACCTCATAAGTTGCTGGGTAGATTTAACAGCAACACAGGTAAACGCTTTGCATAGCGATCTAGAAACTACTGCCTGGGGGTCAAATCCAGCCTGGGCCTGTGTGTGTACTGCTGCGAGCTAAGAATGGTTTTTACATTTTTTAATGTTGAAAAAAAAAAAAAAAGAATATTTCAAGACGTGAAAACTATGTAAAATCCAAACTTCAGTTTCCACAAATCAAGTTTTAGTGGAACACCGCCACATGCATTCATTTAGATCTTGTCTCTGGCTGCTTTTTCCGCTGCAGCGATGGAGCAGTTGCCACAGAGACCAGATGGCCCAGAAAGTCTAAAGTATTTACTATCTGGCCCTTTACAGAAAAAGTTTGCCAACCCCTGGCACAGTCAGTAATCACTAGCGTGTGTATGGGGGCGGAGAGTACTTAAAAAACAACAGTGGCTGCGATTGATTCTATCTTTTCAGCAGGGAAGGCAGCGTGCTGAATTGGCTCCATTCTACAGATGAGGTAAGTGCGGTTCAGCGACATGGTGACGTCTGAATTCCGACGTCCACCTGGATTCCCGAAAGCACGCTATAGCAGCACGGAAGGCCCAGGCCCCACAGTGGCCAGAGGCGCAGTCCCCTCCCCGCGTCCCGGCGCCCTGACCTGCGCGGCCTGCCGCTGTCGTCCGGGGGCAGGACGGTGACGCAGACCTTGGGCGCCGCGCTCA